GGCATCGTCAGTGAGTCTTGCCATTCTCAGTACCAAGCAACAACTCGTCAAAGTGACAAGCGAAGTCAATATCTTGATCAAATTTCTGCCGAATCGGTTGAGCTATCACTCCTCTTTATGTCCTGGCCCGTCTATCTAATCCCCACGCTCTTATCACACTCGATTTGTCTATTTGGCGAGTTGTAGCCTGGTTCTGTGAATGGCTTGATTCATTGACGATGCCTGAAAAACGTCTGGGAGTGTATCACATCCAAAGTCTTACGCCGGTAATTATGTTAATTTATAGCAGAGGAATTCGTATAAGGTATGCTAAATGAAGTTTCCATGACAACACGATCTTTACAGTAGTTTACTTACATTCTTGACTCTTAAATCTGGTCTACTATTTGCTTTGACTCCTCCCTCCATCTTTCATTTTTGCAGACGTTCTACCGACTCGTCCCTGCGGACTGGATCAGGCGAAGCTATCAAAGCCGGAAGCGCTTGGAGCTTGAGGAATCTTTAATCGACTCGTCCCAGTGACCATTTGTACTGCCCCTTTTTTACGCGAATCTCAATATTTACTCAAATTGCCATTCTGCTTCACTCCAACTTGCGTCGTCGGCCTACTCGACGAACTCGTGTGGTGGGATGCACTGTTGTGCTTAGACGTGGATCACTTTGTCGTTCTCGATATCGAGTTTGTTCGTGTCCCCTTTTGCGAAACCGCCTCGTCTTGCCTTGCGAGCATGGCATGATATGATCGGAAGGAAAACCTGGATTTCCTATCCGTCTTCCGACACCTGACGGGGCATCTGGGACTCCGGCGTGGCCGGTTGGCAACTCGAACACGGCGACCGTTCGGCTACTCGATAAGCCCGCCTCGTGATGTCCAATCACTGGGCGAGCCCAGGTCGGCGTTAGGGCGTCGGGGAAATCTTACTAGACCAGACGACGAGTCTCGAAATCGCGAGCCCCACTTTGCGCGGACAAGCCGCAATTGCACTTCGCCTTGCCCCTTATCCTGTGACATTCGACGGAGCAGTTTCGCTATTTTTGCCTCTTTCTTTCGAGGTCTACGGTGCAACCAGTACCGGCAGCTGCAGCCATGGCAACACGTCTGTTTTGGGTGTAATCAGTTTGGCCTCTGGCACGATTGCATCCCATTCTCACGAGCACACACGCACACAAGCACCGTCATCGGTGTTATCTCAGTGGGCGT